GGGGGATAGTAGAGGATAGGAAATGTAGCAGAATACAACAGTTAGTAATATGGCACTATGTAAAAATGTGGATGTGTAACCGATGTGATTCTGCAATCTGTATTTGGGGTAAAAATGGGAGTTCATAACCCACTTGAATCTAATGTATGAAATATGATATGTCAAGAGCTTCGTTTGTAATGTTTTGAACAACCAATAATAAAAAAAAAGAACCATTGGGAAAAAAAAAAAGATTGGACTAAACAATTATTCCTAGAGAACATTTCTGTCTTCACTGAGCTCCTTTCTGTTCATACTTTTTGACTCTCATTCTTCAATTATGAAAGAGAAATCAATTCCCTGAGAACTCAGGATAACAATTTTTTAAAAAAGCCAATTTTTTTCAAGAGGTATAATAAACCCAGATATGACTGATGAAGAGATAAAGTAAATGTGGTATATACATAAAATGTAGTATTACACAGCTTAAAAAAGCAGAATGCTAAGTGAAATAAGCCAGTCACAACATACGTATCAAAACAGTATGATTCTAATTATAAGTGCCACTTACATTAAATTCCACTTACATTAAATATCTGAAGTAGTTGAAATCATAGAACCAGAAAGTAGAATTGCTTACCAAGGGCTGAGGGGGTGGGGGTGGGGGGAAGATTAGTGTCTAATAATGGGTATGCAATTTCAGTGTTGCAAGATGAAAAAGTTCCAGAGATCTGTTGCCTAACAATGTGAATATACCTAATATTACTGCACTGTACATTTCAAAATAGCTAAAATAGTAAACTTTAATGTTGTGTCTTTAACCATAATAAAAAAGAGTCTGTCAACTATTTTACAGTAAAATTTAGAACCTTCTTGATGGCTGTTTACATATTTCATTCTTTTTTGTTCACATGTATAGTTCTCACTCAAGTGAAATATTATAACATGTTCATTTACAGAATTCTTTGTTGACTTTCTCCCATGGTTTTATACTTATCTAAATATTCACTGATCTCAATCCTCATACATTATGTAAATTCTATAAAGACAGAGGTTTGGTTCAGTTTGTAGTTCTTGAGGTCCTTAATTTCTATGATTGGGCAGGTAATTAAGTTCTCAAGCAGTTACACCTATTCTAAGTACTCTATTTGATAACAAAATTATATATGTGCTGCAGTTTTAGGTTCACTGTTGAGGCCCCTTAAAATTATTGTGTGAATACCATATAGTTATTTTTTTTTCAAAATTTTCAGTTTATTGAACCTTAAAATCACATAAAGTCATCTGCAAGACCCACACCATTCCCTTTAAAAATTAGAAACTTAGCTGGGCACGGTGGCACATGCGTATAATCCCAGAAGCTTGTGAGCCTGAGGCAGAAGGATCATGAGTTCAAAGACAGCTTCAGCAAAAAAAAAAAGCTAAGCAACTCATCAAAACCTTGTCCCTAAACAAATTACAAAAATAGGCTGGGACTGTGGCTTCATGGTCGAGTGCCTCGGAGTTCAATCCCTGGCAGTCCCCCGACCTCCCCCGCCGACAAAAAAAATTAAAAACTTAAACAAATGTAAGGTTTAGGCTAAAGTATTTGCTGAATTACCGTATGAAGAGATCATTCAAATAATGTAATATGAAAATTTTGGATGAAGTCTTACTAAAAATCAGTAACTTTATAGTGTCTATAGCCATTAACTGCATGGCAATGTATCTTATTATCTGCTGAACAATGTAATACTTGTTTTTTCATTTTCTTGTCAAATTCAAAAGCACTTAGAAATCAATGAGTACTCTCTTTCACTAGATTATGCTTCAGTTTGCTCACTACAAAATATTTATTCCCATCAGTGCTCAGAACATGATACCCCCAAATATGTTACCCTATCATACTGAGTAGTTTAATTTGAAGGAAATTGAGAAAAATGCAGAAGCAAGGTTTTCCTGACCTTCTCCTGCCCTCTCTCTCAAAGCAGGTCATAGAAACTGCAAGTCCCCTCAGTCCTTTTCCCCTGAAGCAGGCCATAAAGCCTAGGAAGGTCACTCTCTGACCACCTCTTTTGCTCTTCCCTTGAAGATCCTCATGTGACAAGTGCCCTGCCCTATAAATGAAGGAATGTCACACAGAAAGGTCAAGAAGAATCTGAACAAACCTTGTTAAGTTCCTCCCTAGTTATTACCATTAGATCATACCTTTTGTCCTCTTGTCATACTTCTGCATGARTGTCCACAGAAATAGACTTCCCTACGTCTTTGTGTCTTTACTTGAAGGCTTTCAATGTTACGTCAAACTTATGAGGAAAGGATACTACTTTTTCTCTCATACATCATTTAGGGAAGAAATCTGCATTTTCTCTCATAAAAGGAAAACTTACTTTTGGGGGGTTAAGAAACTTGAAATTTAATGGCACTACTAAAAAAATTCAAAAATTTTTTTGCTACTCCATTTGGATTTGATGGGCATTATTTATGTTTTCATTGCTTGCCTCTGGCCACCAAATTAAATATCATATACAATGCCCACATACTAAACAAGAGAAAAACATGAAATACCATCAAAGAACCCAAATGAGAACATTTAAAATTAACAGGAGAAAAAATGACGCTTCCAACTTAAAAACCCCGATTTCATATTTTCAATAAAAAAGGAGCTTGTGACTAGTTGGTAATTTAATGACCACCTCAAAAATAAACCCCAACAATATGTAGCAAAATTTCTTTTAATATTAAATATAATGTTATTTACTATTCTTATTTAAAAGGTCTTTTTTTAAAAAAAAAAGTAAGCTGCTTAATGATCTGGTTCTATTTCTCACTTTAAATTATTCAATTTATTATTTCTTAGTGTTTGGTAAGTTGACTTGTAGTAGGCTCTTAACAGAGTAGAAGAACCAAATTCTAAGGGTAGCCTCAACATAAAAATAATGTTGTATCTATATCATATTCTATTGTATCTATATTACATTCTCTGAATTACTAATTCCTTTTATTGAATATGTAAGACATTAGTTTTTTCCCTATTGTGATTTAATTCTGTTTATAATACTGTTAAATTTAGGATTATGCTTTCAGCTGAGAGGTGATAAATCTGAAAGAAATAAACTTATACATGAGGGTTAATTTCATGAGTTCTCTTGGCTAAGCCACAATACGTTAGTCAACATTATTCTAGATGCTCCTGAGAAGTTATTTCCTTATTTATTTATTTTAGTTGAGATTGACATTTAATTAGTAAACTTTGAGTATATAGATTACTAACCATAATGTGGGTGAACCTCATTTAATTAGTTGAAGGCTTTAATAGACTGACTTCCAAAGGATGGAATTCAGCCAGCAGATTACTTATAGATTTGAATTACAACTATTCCCTAGGTATCCAGCCTGCCAGTCCAACCTTGAGATTTTGGACTTGCCAAATTTCAACAATTATATGAGCCAATTTCACTTTGGGGGTGGACTGGGTAGGGGGATAGAGGGGATTGAACTCAGGGGTACTCAACCACTGAATCACATCCCCAGGTGCCGCCCCCCACTCCCCACCCGTTTTTTTTTTTTTTTTTTTTTTTAATTTAGAGACAAGGTCTTGAGTTGCTTAGCACCTTCTTTTGCTGAGGCTGCCTTTGAAATCATGATATTCTTGCCTCAGCCTCCGGATTGGCTGGGATACAGGTGTGCACCACAATGCTCAACTAGCCAATTTCTTAAAACTTTTCTTCATCTCTCCCACCCCTCAATCTCAGTATCTCTCTCTCCCTACACACACACACACACACACACACACACACACACACACACCCTATTTCTGTTTCTATGGAAACAGTGACTAACAGACTCATAAATAAAACCATTCCTATGTTCAAAAGTTATTAATGCATTAAAACACCTAAGAACCTTATGAGTTAAAGCACATTAATTATCTATGCTTTCTTATCAACAATCTAAAGGTGTTAGCAAGGGTAAACCAAACTAAATTCTGAGACATAAAGCCATTACTGATATTTGAGTCTGAAAAGTACAGAAACTTGTTTTACTATGGAGTTAAAAATATATCACATTAATAACAAGTCTAGAGTTGCAAGTTTTCTTTTTCTCAGCAAACTATATTAACATGATAGTATTCTGAGACATTTGACCAATGTTATAATCAAGCTAATGATTAGTCCACTCTCCTATAAATAGTTATAAATATGATGACCTTATAATTAATTTATCAATTAGATTGGGAGGCCTTTGAAAATGAATTGGGTGCTATTAATACTGTATATCAGGAACAATGAGGACAGTCCTAGGAAAATCAGAGCTTATAAGTCACCCTAATAAAAAGGAGAAACATCCTTTTTCTTACTTATGGAACCAAAAAGATTCCCCATATACCTTCACCTATCTTTCTTGTTTCTTGCCAAAATTTCTGGACAGAGTACCATCAGAAATAAACTTAAATTATTAAGCAAACTCTTGTGTGCATATATCTCATTTGAGTAATCACATAGCAATTTTCAGATATGGGCCATATTTAGGATTTCAAAGGTATTTGATTATGAAACCAGTTACAACAAAATGCTAAACTGTGGATTACCTATCAATATCATAGACATATTTTCTCAATTTGTAAGGTGACTGCTTCCAATTTAACCTAGTTCTTACTATTTATGAAGAATCACAGAAGTCAGCACTCCATAGTGCCATTTTTCAATGACCAACTTTTATATTACCACAAATCTTGACAAACTCCTTATAGAAAAAGTTATCACTTCTTCCACAAATAATCAAAACCATACAAACCTCTGTCAATTGCTTCAATTGGACTTTATTTGTACTTAATTCTTCTGATAGGTCATTCTTTTTCACATGTAGTTCATAAATTTCCTTTCTTAACGGATTTACTAGTTCATAGAAACGAATCTTAAAAAAAAGAAAAACCCAAAATTAATAAGAAGTCTTTCCAAATTACAATTAAAATTTGCTAATTTACAATACAGTAGTCCACCTTTATCTATATTTTAACTTTACATAGTTCCCTTTACCTGCCATTAACTGTTGTCTGAAAATATTCCAGAAACAATCATAAATTTTAATAATTTCTATAAAAATAAATACTACCAGGCTGGGGTTATGGCTCAGTGGTAGAGCACTTGCCTAGCATGTGTGAGGCACTGGGTTCGATTCTCAGCACCACATACAAATAAATAAAAATGAAGGTCCATTGACAACAACAAAAATTTAAAATAAATTAATTTTTAAAATTAATAATTAATTTTAAATTAATAATTGTTCAATTTTACCACAGGTATGCATTTATAGAAAAAAAGTGCATACTTGATAAAACAGTACTATTTAAGGTTTCAGACATTCACTTGGGTTCTTGAAATGTCTAAATATATGATAAACAATAAATAATTGATGAAGAGATAGTCTCTATTCTTTTTGTATGTGTGTGGTGCTGGGAATTGAACCCAAGGCCTCACACATGCTAAAAAACACTTTACCACTAAACCACACCCCCAGTGCTATCCTTTGCTCTTCCAGGTCCTTGGCAAAGCTCTGTTTACTGCTGCCACTACAGTGCAAGGGATAAGTAGGATGAATCAGGAGGTATTTTTGATACGATTACTTCCACTCCTAACTTTCTCAGGGGAATTGGCCTGCCCTAACTCAGCAAAGTGTTTTATCGTAAAGGTCCTATAAGACTCAGAAGCCAATTAGTAAGTTAGGAGAAAGTAATTAGTGATGATTTATTATACAAGTATATAATCTGAAACTTCTCAATAAATGACATCGAAGCTTGTACAGTTAATGGATTGTGTGCACACACGTAAACACACAGACACACACACACACACTTTTTTTTTTGGAGACAGGATTCCATTATGTTGCCCAGGCTGGCCTTAAACTCTGGGAGTTAAGCAATCTTTCTGCCTTAGTCTCCCTAGTAGCTGGGAATACAGGCTTGTGCATCACACCTGGTTCTATATTCTTGTATATAAAAAAATTTGTCAGGTTTAATTTCTAATATGGCAAATACTGATAAAGGGATGTTGATACCAAACAATTTTAGATCACTGTCACAGACTAATTCTAATTATAGGGTTATATAAAACCACAACAAAGATTTTGAATTATTCTTGTTACCACAGAGTTCTTATCCTTCACCTTATAATCACACCAACTCCATTCTCCCCCACTATCCCTAACAAACCCTGGGCAACAACTAATCTGTGGCTCACCTCCATAATTTTTCATGTGAGAATATTATAAACCATCACTTATGATAAAATAATTCATTTCTGTGGACTAAGTAGCCCATAACTTCAGAGCCCTATTTATTGCTAGCCTTTAAAGACCAATGGTCAAAGACCTTTAAAATTCGATGATCTGAACACCACTCACCATTTTCAGATCAGGACCCTAATATAATTTAGCAGCTCTATACTTCAATATTAATGACTACTACATAAACAGCAAACTTAACACTTACAGATACATATTCAGGAATGGAAAGCTGATCTTCAGGAAAAGTTTTTAGCTTCGTGTATTGCTCTTCTGTCAACTCAAAATCACGTAGGTTTCGACGAATATCTCCAGCTTTCTCTCTTAGCTGATGATTTGTCTCTTCTAGTTGCTTCTGCCTCAATAAAATGGTTTCCATTTCTTGTTTCATTAGTTCTTGGTATTTTCTACATTAGGAGAGAATTTATGGCAAGCTTTAAAAAATCTTTGCAATTTGACTTTCTCAAAGTTCTCTATAATAACATAAAATTAGGAAATGAGAAGTCCAATAATATTCTCTCTCTTTTTTTTGCGCTGGGGGATACTGGGGATTAATTCACTGGCTCTTTACCACTGAGCTTCAATCCTATCCCTACCCCTTCTTCCTCTTTTTCTTTTTTTTTTTTTAATTTTGAAACAGGGTCTTGCTAAGTTGCTGAACTTATGATTCTTCTGACTTGGCCTCCCAGTCTTCAGGAATTATAAGCATGCAACACTGTACACAGCTGCCCAATTTGTTCTTGTCTACAACTAGAAGTGTATTTACTTAACCAGTTACACATAAAATTGACTTCCATACTCATTAACAAATGTCTAGCCACATAAGCTATTAGGGAATTGATATTGTTAAAGAATAATTCTAAAAATTCAAATCATAAAATTATATATTTCCTCTGCTTAAGTTTTAAGTCTTTTATACCTGCTTTGGATTCTCCTTATTAAGTTCATTTTCATTTCTCTTTTATCCTGGAACTTCAAGGAATATCTCTTTTAAGATGGCAACAAAGAACCACCATAAAGTAGTCATTCAACCAATGAGACTAATCTGCAGATACTCTCCATTCTCAAAAAACATGCATAGAAAATGGACGGCATTAGAGCAGATTATGCTAAGTTAGCCAATCCCTAAAAAACAAATGCCGAATGTCTTCTCTGATATAAGGGAGGTGACTCAAAACGGGATAGGGAGGAAGAGAATGAGAAGAAGATTACCATTAAATAGGGAAGAGAGGTGGGAGGGAAAAAGAGAGAGAAGGGGAGTTGCACAGAAGATGGAAGGAGAACCTCATTGTTATACAAAATACATATATGATGTTGTAATGAGAAAAAGGAAAAAAAAGTGTGTCACATTAGATTGGATAGAGAGAAAGGATGGGAGAGGAGGGAGGAGCAGGGAGGATAGGAAGGGCAGCAGAATAGAATATACAATATGATTGATGTGTGTACATTCTATGTATGTATTATATGTCAAAATACATTCTGCTGTCATGTATGACTAAAAAATATAAAATAAAAAAAGAACATGCATAGAAGCCATTATTATTCTCGTCTACCCAAAGATTTTAAAGCAAGAAAACACAATCTGATTTCACCTCCCATTAACAAACATGCTATTATTTTTCTCATCTTAAAACAAATGAACAAATAAAAAAAAACTCGACACCATTTCACTTTTCCTTTTATTTGTTCTCTCCTGGTCAAAAGTTATTTTTGTTGTCTAAGTTCTCAATTCTTTACCTCTTAAACCCATGCCAATTGGGTTTTTACCCTTTACTTAAATCTCAATGATAGATTGCCAAAGACCAATTCTTAGTTCTTTTTATCCATGATCTAACAATAGCAGTTGACACATTTGATCTTTCTTGATAAACTTTCTTTCCCTGGCCTTATAGACACAACACGTTCTTTGTGTTTCTCTCCTTTTACTATGGCATCTTCTCAATTTCCTTTGTCGTCCTGTTGGAGCACTTAGACCTCTGTTTATAATCTCCCTTTGGGAATTCATGTAGCCTAATGACTCAAATATGGGCTATATCCTAATGACTCCTAGATTTGTTCTTACAGACCAGATTTTTCATATACCTCCACACGGATTTCTAACAAGACAACTTTAACTCAACATGTACCTAACTGAACTTCGACTCTACTCACAAACCCATCCACTATGACTTCTTCCATCAGAGCTGACAGCAACTTCATCTTTTTATTTATACAGGCTAAAAATGTTGGTGTAATCCTTGACTCTTCAGGACATTTTATCAGCTCTACCTTCAAAATATATTCAGAATCCAACTACTTATTACAGAATCCACAGAAATAGCTTCCCAACTGCCCTTTCAGGATCATTTAATCTGAAAAAAGTCTAACAAAGTTTTGTCCTAATAGTACCAGCATCACCTGGGAAACTGGCAGAAATGCACATTCCCAGACCCAATCCAAATCAGAATCTCTGAGGACTAAACCCAGTAATCTTTTTAAATAAGCCTTCCAGGTATTTCTGATGTATATTGAGGTTTTAGATCTAATGTGTTAGTAGCTAATAACTGCCACACTGCTTTTTAGGAAATAGATTAAATAGTGAATTTTTTAACAGAAAGATATCTACTTTACACACTTCTAATTAAAACATAGAAAAAAAAAAACATTCATTTGCCACAATTTTTACAGAGGTCCAGATGTTTTGAATACAAAGGTATACTTTTATTTCTATATTAAAAAATAGTCAGAGAAATCTGAGAAGATACTTTTCATAGATTTGTTTTATTTTTTTGCCCCTAATCTTTAAACTTGTTTTACTGATACTTAATTTGATACTTTTGTCACTTTTTCACATTCATATTCAATTGTTTATATAACTTTGAATCAATTACATGAGCATAATTGGTATAGACATATTTGAGAGCAAACAGTGGGATCTTGATAAGAACACAATTGAACTGGAGAAAGTACGCAGAAAGCTCCAACAATCCATGAAGAAAATTTAATCTAGACAGCTAGTCAAGTGGTGGTTCTTTTAGATAGCCTCCTTTGTCTTTTAATGGTTCACTTACACTGCTCAATGTTAGTTGAATGAAACGTTGAATTTTGACTTTTTATATTTTTTATATTGCTATATCAAATAACCTATTTTTTGGTGTTGATGTGAAAATTATTATCATCACTTACTTAAAATTTCTCTATATTAGCTTATAACATGTGCATACAGGAAATAAGATTACTTTTAGTTACTAAACAGATATTGTTGTTTTTAAAACTTTTTTTTTACCTGGCATCCTTCTGTTGAAAAGTCAATTGGTTGTCTAATCTCAAAGTAAGTAGCTGCTTCTGGTGAAGTGCATCATTCAGTTTCTCCTCTAATTCTTCAATCTTAAAAAGAGAATAAGGTGTTCAATTTTCAAATTTATCATACAGAAAAACCTTCAATTTGAAAAAAAAATTAAAAACTTTTAAAAGAAACACAATAAAAATGAATAGAGGGTTTCTTTTATAATGGTTTGTATCTACAGACTGCAAAGTCTGCTCATACTATGGTTTGAAATGGTTGAGTGGCATATGGCTTTCCGCCAGACTATCATAAGACTATTGTTTTCATCTTAACCCAAGCTTCCTAACTGAGCAGCTCATTGACAACTGGGAATTCATGCTGCTATCTTGCCTAGTTATTATTTCTAGGTCAGATCCAACATTTGTATTTCAGATCCATTAATCTGGCTACTATACATCTTCAATTGACTAGGACATGGGTGAGGCAATGAATATTCAAAACAAAATGGATAGCTGACCTTACCCAATTCTATATTTGCTGAATCTCCCTAGCGTCCAAAGTAAAAATAATAAATAAATAAATAAATAAATATACATTCTGTTTGATATGCTTGCCTAGGCTACTGTAATTTTTCATTGGCTTCCCTGCCTACAGTTTTACCAACTTTCCCATCTATCTTCCTTTATATTACCTTTTTAAAATGATGTCAAAATTTTACTTTCCCTGAATCTAACCAACATGTCATGTGTGTATATAAATGCAACAAAGGAATTATCTCTTTCATGCATATGTAGAAAGTACCAATAAAAAACAAATAAATAAAGGTGTGAAAGGAAGAACAACAGAATAGACAGAAAAAAGGAGGGAGAAAGGAGAGGAGGAATGGGGATTGAAATCAGATTCCTTTTATGTAAAATATATCAAAAGGAACCCAAATACCATGTATAAATATAATGCTCTAATAAAATAATTTAAAATTTACTTTCCCATTTTTAAATTCTTCAAAAGAGCCTATCTTAATAAAAAATTCTAAATTTTGGAGCTGGGGTTGTGGCTCAGTGGTAGAGCGTTTGCCTAGCACATGCAAGGCTCTGAGTTCGATCTTCAACACCACATAAAAATAAATAAATAAAAATAAACGTATTGTGTCCAACTACAATTAAAAAAATATATTAAAAAAATTCTAAATTCTGTGGTTAATACAGTAGTCTTTCTTGATCTGACCCTTCTTAACCACTTCTTTTGTCACTAGCTTAAAGGAAAGCTGTTACAGCCAAAATAAATGCTTTCCATTTATATTGTGTTTCCCTTAAACTTACATTCCCTAGGATTTTATTCTTAGTCTATTTATAAAACTCTTTATTCCTCCCATTCAACCCAGGCAATTCTTTTTTGCCCTTTAAAATAGATGAATTTGTGGACTGGGATTGTGGCTCAGTGGTACAGCGCTCGCCTAGCACAGCAGGACCTGGGTTCAATACTCAGCACCACATAAAAATAAAGGCATTGTGTTGTATCCATCTACACCTAAAAAATAAATATTTTTAAAAAAATAAAATAGATGAATTTGACAGTCCCTAGTATATTCAAGTAAATCCCTCTTGCAACATCAAATTCCTCTTCTCTACTGGATCATTCTTATTATTAAGCAAATACCAACAAAACAACAAATAATGCTCTCTTCATCACACCACACCTTCACTCCAGTATCATTTTTCTGCTCCCCTTCAGTGTAAAACTTCCATATAATTTTTGTCCCATCCTATTCCAGTGACACTAAATTCTTTTGTTTGTTTGCTTTGTGGTACTACAGATTGAACCCAGGGACACTCTACATCTATGTGCCACATCTCCCACACTTTTTAGTTTTTATTTTGCGAGAGGGTCTCGCTGACAATGCTGACCTTAAACTTGTGATCTTCCTGTTTCAGCCTCCCAAGTAGCTGGGATCACAGGTGTGCACCACTGTATCTGGCCACAGTAAAACTATGCTTATCAACGTCCAAAATACTCAGCTCAATGGCATGTTTATCTTACTTGACAGAATGACCATACAAAGCTGACCTCTCTTGTTTAGCTTCCATGACACTTCTTCTTCTGGTTGTCTTCTAATTATACTGGATACTCTTATACTCCTCAAGCTCCTTTGCTGGATTCTCTTCTCTGCCTCATTTCTAAATGTAGGACAGCCCCTTGACTTGGCCCTCTAAAGCAGTGACATTCAATTCCATGGCTTTACATGCCATCTGTATGCTGATGTATATTTCATAAGTAGATAAATAGTCATGGACCCTCCCCTAGACTCTAATAGTCAATTCCATTTGGGTATCTAATGAGAAGCTAAAACTTAATGTGTTCTAAAGAGAACTTACATTTCATTCCCATATCAGTTTCTTCCCACCTCTTCCATTTCTCAATAAATGGTTCTAGTTGAAGCAGAAACTCATCAGCCTTACGACAATTCCCTGCCATCTCCTTCTGCCTTATCTGTTCTATTACTTTTGTGCCATTCTGAATAAAAAAATCAGGACATGTAATACCACCTGCCTAAAATCTACCAATAACTTTTCTTGACTACATAACCTAAACAAACAATGGCCATGGGTCAAATCCAGCTCTTGTCTTATTTCTGTGTGTCCTGTGAACTAAGAATAGGATTTATAGTTTAAAAGGTCTAGAAAAAAAAAAAAAGAAAAACAAAACAGAAAAACAAAAGGCAAGAACAAGGAAGAAAATGTGACAGACCTTATATAGAGCAAAAAGCAGAAAATTCTTACTGTCTAGCAGTTACAGAGTAAGTTTGCAGATGCAATCTTCATAAAAAAGAACCGTTATTGCTACATTCCCAGCATCCTGTCTCAAGACTGCTTAAAAAAATACAAAATAACCATATTCCTCATAATTACTATGTTGCAAATCAAGGATATACATTACCACTAGGAAAGAATTCTATTTTTTCAGAATTACAACTTTTACAATTTTAACTAACTTCTAAATTAAATTCCTTAACTTAGTGACAAACTGCATCCTTTCATTTTCTAAGTAATAAGGAACCCACAAACTTCTAACAAGATATAAACAAAACCAGTTTCTGCATTTGAAAACTGATAGGCAAGAAGAATAAAGAAATAAAGAAGTGGATGTAGGTGGCAACGAATGGGGATAAAGTGAAAAGCTAACAATTTTCGACTATCAGTTTAGCCTGGGCAGCTAGCTACCTTTCTAAGTTCTCTCTGACCTCATTCTCACTGATCTAGGCATAGATGCTTTTAAGTTTTTCTTAGATCCTTTGTTTCTATTTTTAGATAGAGAAAGCAAATCAGAATAAGTAACAAGATCAAAAGAACTATAAGTAACAAGCTGTAATAAAGTCAAACATTTGTAATGCTGTGGCATATGTTAAGATTCACATGTTTTCTAAGTCAAAATAAAAGACCTTCATGAGTAGAAGAAAAAAATCATGACTTGCCTTCCAATATTATCTTCCTTCTTTCTGACTTAACTATGGATTTTTATTAGTTAATACAATAAGTCCAGTTAAAAACTCACACTTCCTAGCTTCCAATCCTTTGCAGGCAAGGGTGGTCAATGCTATACAGTTCTAGTCAACTGAGATAATTGGCTTGAACTTCTACTTCTAGGAATGCTCTTTAGAGAGGACTGATTCATTGGCACATTCCCCCTTTTCCCATCACCATTTTCCTCATTACTCCCTGTAACTGTATACAACACTGGAGGCAGATCAACCATCTTAAGATTTTGAGGTGGAATATCATATGCTAAAAAATAGCTGAGCAGAAGATTAAAAGGCACTTGGGTTCCTAATAATGTCAAAGAATAATCATACCAGGCTTAAATTACTTATTTTCAGATCCCATAAAGAAAGAAAATCATGCACTGAGGTAGCAAAAAGTTGGAGGCAATCTGTGTGCCTCATACTGTGCGTGAATGGACTGGTACATACAGAGAATTATGTTAAGAGTTAGAAGCTAAGTAGCAGATGGGCGTATAGTAATTCAGATGATTTTTAAAATAGCTAAATAAGGCTGGGGTGTGGCTCAGAGGGGGAGTGCTTGTCTAGCATGTGCAAGGCATTGGGCTTGATTTGCAAAAATAAATAAATAGATATTGAAACAAAAGTAAATATATTTTAAAAATAATGAATTGTTATGATTAATGACTATTATGTGTCATACATTTAGGAATATAACTAACGTAGTCTTGTACATTTGTAGTCCAACTAGAAAACTACCACCAAAAACTATATCAAGAACTGTGGAGGCACAAGAATATTAATAAAGTGCCCAATAATGAAGCTACAGATAGTTACATTATTTACAATCATAATGTGTTTTTATCATATACCAGGTGCCTAAGAGCTAACACATGTTGATTAATTTAATCCTCAAGACAATTCTGTGATGTAAATACTATTATAATTTTACAGAACATCAAGGAATGAAAAAGTTAAGGAATTTGCCCCAGGAAACTGGTAACGATGGAACTGAATCCCTAACTATGTATACCTAAAATTTTGGCTGTTAACTAGACAGTCTCTCATGAATCAGTCACCATTTCTATAGTGTAACACATAAAAAAAAAAAAAAATAAGAGCAACTGAGGGGCACAGTGCCCCCACCTACAATCCCAGGAGTATGGAAGACTGACGCAGGAGGATCACAAGTTCAAAGACAGTCTCAGCACGTTAGCAATACCCCATCTCAAAATTAAACAAACAAACAAAACCCAAAACCCCCAAACAACCCCCCCAACAAAAAACCCCAAAACAAGAAAAGCTATTTAAAACCAAGTACAATAAATTGAAAACACATAAAAGAATTAACCAAATAAAATATAATTGTGGATATGTCACTTAATGAAATATTTGTTGATTGAGTGGATAGATTAATAAATGGGATATTAACTCAGGCTTTTTCAATGAGGTGTACTAAAGGAAATCTTGAGAGAGAGGAATATAAGAGCCAATAGCACTGTGGGAGTGTATCTGAAGTAAAAGCAATAGGAGTAAACTATTAAGGACAGGAAACCACTGGATGCACTGATAACATACCAAGCGACCTAGAGAAGGGTAGGCGTCTGTGTAGATAAAAGGAAGTGTTTGGAGATTCACTTTAGTGGAGTATGGGCTTTAGACTTCCTAGGATTTGAATCCTGTCTAGTTCTACCACTTTTATCTGAATGGCCTTGGGTATGTATTAACCACTCTGTGGCTTTGTTTCATCAAGAGAAAAATGGGGTTCAGTTATATATATTACATAGAGGGGGTAAAAAAATGAGAATACTATTTTAGTGGATAACAACAACCAATACTGTGTGCTTAGTAGGTGTGTCTGCACCCCAAATTCAGATATTGAAACGTAATCACTATTGTGATATTATTAAGAAGTGGAGTTTTTGTAGGGGGGGTGATTAGGTTGTACGGGTGGAGCTCCATGAGTGATGAGTGCCCTTGTAAGATACCTCTGAAAGCTAGCTTACCCTTTTGCCACGTGAGGACACAGCAATAAGTATGCAACCCAGAAAAGGGACAGAACTGGACTACACTGGACACCCTAATTTTGGACTTTTCAGCTTCCCAAATTAGGCAAAATATATTACTATTGTTTATAAACTACCTAGCCTCTGGTATTTTGTTATAGCAGCTCAAATGTTATAAGGCACTAAGTAACAGTACTAGTCTAACTTATTTTATTGACTCATTAATAAGATGGGTTATAGAAGACCCTATCCCCTCAAAAGAATCTATATTTCAAAGGATTTATGAGGCATAAATAAAACCACAAATAAAAAGCTCTTAGAAGAGTGTCTATGCACAAAATAAACTCAATAAGTGTTAAATATTAAATTTAAAATATTAATTTTAGAAAAAGCTTACCTAAATTACTTCTCTACTTTTTCGAGATTTTAAGGTTTGAGACACCTTATTTTACTACAGACATATGGTCAAGAAGTATTTCTACTGATAGGACACTAAAGTATGTTAGTGTAGCTAGACAAGAACTAAAAATGGAAGACTGAATTAACAAGGAAAGGTATAAATGAAACAACAAAATGGAGGAGTAGAAAGAGCTGGGACCAGGAGCAAAGGTGAAGGGTTTACCATTGTAAACAAAAGATTTTCTTGGAAACAGAAATAGTAACAGTAAAGAACTGTCTCTTATCTTTCTGAAATCAATGTATATTTCCTAGGGCTAGTGAAAACTTTACCAGGTCTTACAAAAACAACTTTGAACTTGTAAATAAGCAGAAAGGACAAAAACCAAGGACTAGAACATTCTTATTTGCATGGCAAACAACACTTACTAAAGACTATGGTACATGAGTTTATGACTCCTTGTATGACATAGTAACTATCAAACAGAAAGTCTCAGTAACTACCAAAAAAAGAGAACAAAGAATTCAATTTCTAGGACAAGGACAATACAGATTCAATAATATAATCATGATCTTGACTCTTCCTATCCAACTAGTCACGTCATGGTCAATGAAGCAGAAACAACTTAGGTAGAAATTATACCTAAGAAAATAAAACTCACACTGCTAGATTTTAAAAATGGAGCCTACAGAAGTAAATTCATCTCTGTTCACATTTAAATCACTCCATCATTCAAAACTCAAAGTATTAAAAGGCTGTCTAGGACAAGAAATATAAATGTATCATTTTTAAGTTCAGATAACATACATAAACTTTTTTATTTTTCTGCAGTTTAAAGATGATAAAGAATGTAAATAACAAAATGTACACCCGGTCTTACCTTTGTAAGATAATCGACTTTCAAATTGTCAATCATCATATTTTTCTGGGATAGTTCTATTTTCAGTAATTGAATATTATGAAGTAGTTCTTTGCGTTGAATTAGCTGCCTGGTTATTTTCATTTTACCCTCTCGCTCTTCTGACGAGGAAATATCATCTGTAGGAATTGTTGTTTCTAAGCTAATATCTTCAGATTCCAGAGAACTGGAGATATTTATTTTTTTGAGCTCCGTAGGAAGTTTTCGAGACATCTTTTATTATGGGCCAGTTTTCTCTCCTAATTTAATCTTCTGTAGATTAAAAACAAACAAAAATTTAAATATACCAAAACATTAATAGAAAGTAGAGAGCATTAATGAGGTACTAAGAATTCCCCAAATAATTAAGCAATTTGTTAGATCCCAAATTTAAGACAGAGMACTACAGTAAATTACTGCTAAATCAAACACAGAGTAAATCCTACTGTGAATTCAGCTCTTTGATTAATAAATGAAAAAAAAATCCTGCGGCAGGAATCCTATTCTGAGGAAACAAAGAAATGTACAAAATGAAGTCCATTAGTACCCCAATATGCACCCATTAAAAGCAGCACAATCTCAAAGAGAACAAGAACTGTCCCTCTAACAGAATCACTTCTGAGTTGGTCAGGTAAGATTATACAGATATAGGACTTAAAATTTTGAAGAATTTGGACAGGAGTAGTATAAAAGGGAAATCATGCAGGCATTAGGTGGGAATAGAGGTGGAAGAAGTGTGAACAGCAGCAGAAGACAGTGGTAGTGCAGTTCTAGCCAATCCGTGAATTTGAACAGTGATTCGCCCCTACTCCATGCACCCTAAAAAATCAAGACTGCTGACTTAAATGTCATATTGCGTTTGGATTTTATTCTACAGGCAACGAAGCAAGACTGAAGAGTTTCTAAATGGGGAAACAATGAGAAAAAAACATTTTAGATAAACAAGCTAGATCCCAGAATGAAAACAAGAGTAGAAGAGAAAAATTCGTAGAACTAATAGAAGAGAAAATTCTAAGTAGAATGTCTTACCTTTTTGCAAGAAATTTTAGCCAGTTTCATCTTTAAATATTACAGGATAAAATAAATTATTTATGATATTGTATATTTCAGGTTTTCTAAGCCGGATTAGGAAAGAGGTGTGTGGAGGGGAAACACTAAGATCGGCCTCCTTCCTCCTCTTTAAAAGGAAGGGGGTAGAGAAAGGTAAAAATCAAAGGCAAATCCTCTTCTGAATTACAAAGGTTCAGAGCCCAAGACTGCCCGGACCATTTGGAGTGATGAGTAAGCCAAACTTGGCAACCTCGGAGAATTCCTTGCCCCACTCAGGGAAGAAAGGGAAACTGGTAATTGCAAGATACCTCAAAAGCGTCAATGCACGGGTGGACCTGCCACCACCCCGACTCTTCCAGGAACCGAAGGCTCCTTCAGTCAGCAGCTCAGGGTGCAACCCCACAAAAAGGAATCGCCGGGGACCGTTAGGCGCCGTAACCAAGACAACCACTACCACGAGCAAAGGAGGACGGAAGAAGAGGCGGTATGCAAGGGCCCACGACACCGGAACCCGACCAGCCAGGTACCCTGGGCGCGGGAAGCGAGGCAGTCTGGGAGCTGGAGTCCTGCGGCAAGCCCCGCCCAGGCCACGGGCGGAAGCGGCCTCTGCCGGAGCTTCGAGCTCTCGTCCAATCCTCGCAGCCGTTAGAGAGCCGACTAGCGTCTGTCTCGGAGTTTTCCCGCGAGAGATGTGCACTAATATCCCGGAGCGGGAAGCGGCGAACCTCTGGGTGAAGTATAGTCGTGCGACCGGGCTCGTGGTTTGAAGCTTCTTTCTCCGGAAGAGTGTTGTGGGAGCTGGAATTCTGCGTGGGGACGGGATTCTACTTCGCGAGGCAAGATGCTCAAATCCAAGACGTTCTTGAAAAAGACCCGGGCGGGCGGCGTCATGAAGATCGTACGCGAGCACTACCTGAGGGATGACATAGGCTGCGGAGCGCCTGGGTGCGCGGCCTGCGGCGGGGCGCACGGTGGACCGGCTTTGGAGCCACTGCCCCAGGACCCCGCGAGCAGTCTCTGGCCTCGGCCGCACTACTTGCTGCCCGACACCAACGTTTTACTGCATCAGGTGCGTCGGCTGGAGCACGAAGGGCATATCGCTCGCCTTCCCAGGACGAGGGGGCGTGACAGATAGGGAAACTGAGGCTCAGGGAGGCGGGTCTTTGGCAGTACCTTGTACTTTACAGAGGCAAGCCCCTTAGGGACCCTCACTTCCGTTTTCTCAGGCTGAAGTTCTTTTCCTTATGCCTTTTTCTTTATTTTTCCCTTTTTTTCGGTTTTGGAGTCTTATTTTAGACACGTTAATTTTCTAACTCCTGGTGTCTCTTCTACCTTAGATTATAAGTGCCTGGAAGCCGGGGACCTGGGCTTCTGAGGCTTCCAGCTTGCGACCCCCAGGCAGCTTGTAAGTGCCTACGAACAAAAACTATGTGGGCCAACGTATTTCTTTATTCATAGCCTTAATTCTACGAAGTTTTGTGAATGGTCTGTTTACGTGTGCTCTTCTCAATTAGGCCTGAAGGGTTGAGAGTGGCTTGTCACTTTTTTTAAAAAGCAAAATAATTCCTTGGCTTAATGTAAAGTCAGTATTTTTAAACCGACAGGGTGTTGTTTGACCGAAACAGTTTATCAATGAATATAGGAAGAATTAACACTTTTATTTTTCAAAGATTGATGTCCTTGAGGACCCTGCCATCAGGAATGTAATTGTACTACAAACGGTTCTCCAAGAAGTGAGAAATCGGAGTGCTCCTGTATATAAAAGAATCCGGGATGTGACTAATAACCAGGAGAAGCATTTTTATACATTCACTAATGAGCACCATAGGTAAGAAAAAATTATGTTAAATTTCACAAAATTAGCTAAATGTGATAGAAAATTCGTGTTAGTAATTTGTGACGTTGTCAAAGGTTAATGATGGTTTTATGTGCTATTTGGGTCTTACACAGCTGTGTGGAAAATAATGCTAAGTGGATCTCACTAAGGTCACATTAGCATTGGTGAGGTCAAGCCTAAAACTAGAATATACTGGCTTTCAGCCTGTAATAGTTACTTTTACTTCCAAATGTATTTATTTCAATTTGGTTTTAGCCTGAGTTGAACAGTGAGTGGACTCTTTGAAGATGAGATGTGCATAGGTTCCTGGAATACCATAATGTGTGAATAACCGACATAGCATGATAAAATATAATTTTGTAAAAGAGATACTTTTACTAGGTTCATCACAGTTTCTTAGCCTCAATACTTTTGACATTTTGGACTGAATATTTTATTGTGGTATGGCTGTCTTATACATTATAGGATGCAGCTCCTTTGCTTCTATTTGATAGTTGCTAATAGCAATTCCCCTACCACCACCACCATGTTGTAACAACTCAGAATGTCTCCAAATATTGCCCAATGCCCCCTAGGGACAAATTCAACCCCTGATTGAGAACCACTGCATTAGAATATAGAGTCTAGTAACAAAATCCATCAGATTATGCAAAATTTTGAAAAAATCTAATTTCTCTTATCCCCAAATTAAATATTGCTCTCATAAAGGTTATCACTAAAGCACTATAGACTTCGTGTCCTTGCACTTCTTTGAAATCCAGAAACAGAAACATCACTTGTTTTTAGTACTAAAAGACCAAGTATTTGTGGGACATATTCATCTGGTTTCTAACCAGTGGTTAGCAATTTTGTTAGCTCAAGTGCTGTAATAGGACTTAACAGTGCTAGAATTGATGGGAAGACTCTTAGGACACTAGGCAAATTACATCTGAGATTTTATTAATCAAGTCTTAGTAAAACCAAATTCAAATTTATGACTATGTTGCTCATTGATTAGATTAAAGCACTAGCAAGTATATGGTGGGGAATAAAATAATTCTATTAATTATCAATATAAATAAGTCTAAAATCCTAAAACTGAATTTATTATCTTTAAACACTAGAGAGTAGTATACTGAATTTTGTTGTTATGCTTCAGTCTGACTTTGAAGAACAGATTTAAAGAAGTAGATAAGTGTGTTCATATACTTGGGAGCTCAGAGTGGAAGACTTAGAAGAGAAATACAATCATCTCTGTCTGCTCTTTTAGTCTTTAGGGATCCTTGACCATTTATTAAGTGTTTACATGGATAATTTACACAGAGTATATATTTAATGACTGGAATCACATGACCATAAATTATCTAATCAAACTATTTGTAGTATAGTTTGAATAACATCTTATCAGATCTGCAAAGTTTTATTAGTTTATTGTAGTGAACTATTATTCCCTGTCCCAACTTAAGATTATTAATTCTGGCCTTGAATTTTTCTTTTTGTAAAATAAAATTTTCTGAGCCTTTTTATTGTCCCATTGATAGTATAATTTTCTTCTATTACAAGCAAATTGTTGTCTTAAAATCATGGGGCTGGGGTTGTGACTCAGTGGTAGAACGCTTGCCTAGCATGTATGAGGCCCTGGGTTTGATTCTTACCACCGCATACAAATAAGTAAATAGATAGATAAATAGATAAATAAGTAAAGGTCCATCACCAACTAGTAAAAAATATTTTAAAGAATTATACTAGTGTGGGCTGGGGTTGTTTTCTGTGATATAAGGAGGCTGATGCATAGTGGGTTAGGGAGGGGGAGCATGGGAGGAATAGAGGAACTCTAGATAGGGCAGAAGGGTAGGAAAGGAAGAGAGGGGCCATGGGGTTAGAAATGATGGTGGAATGTGATGGACATTATTATCCAAAGTACATGTATGAAGACACGAATATATTTTGTGAATATATTTTGTATACAACCAGAGATATGAAAAACTGTGCTCTAAATGTATAACAAGAAATATAAYGCATTCCACTGTCATATATAAATAAAACAATTAATTAAAAAATTATAACAGCGTGGGCTGGGGTTGTGGCTCAGTGGTTGAGTGCCTGCATAGCACATATGGGGCCCTGGGTTCAATCCTCAGCACCACATAAAAATAAATAAAATAAAGGTGTTGTGTCCAACTACAACTAGAAGGTAAGTGTTAGAAAAAGAAAAATCATACCAGTAAGGATCTTGTTGATTTTCTGAAGCCTAAGTTTATACATCCAAGTGAAATAGATGCACTATTGACTTTTCAGTTTAGTGGTCGAACATTTGTGTCCTCATAGTTTTTACATCTTTGTTTCTATTCGTTTCCTTCATTTCGTTTTCCCTTTTCTTAACATTTAGAGAAACCTATGTAGAACAAGAACAGGGAGAAAATGCTAATGACAGAAATGATAGAGCCATTCGAGTAGCAGCAAAATGGTACAATGAACATTTGAAGAAAATGTCAGCAGAAAATCAGCTACAAGTTATCTTTATAACTAATGACAGAAAAAACAAAGAGAAAGCTGTTGAAGAAGGAATACCAGCTTTCACGTGTAAGTCTAAAAGTAGAAGCCATTACTGCATGCTTATAATTAATTGTATGTAAAAATTTATGATCAGGCCTATGGTCAGATGTTCACTTGACTATTTAATATTTTCACTATCCCATATAATTTCATGTGATTTTTTTTATTCATTTTTTAATTTCTCAGAGTTTTTTTAAGTCAAGTCAGTTGTTGTGTTCATTAGCTGTTAATTTTTCCCTTACTATTTGCAGTCGACTTGCAATATGCTGGACCTACTGATGCTTCTGAGACAGGACCATATCAAAAGATTCATTTTTAATTTCAGATTGACAGTGTCAGAAATAAGATTTTTCATGATCTTTCATAGCTAAGGGAAAAAGACATTTGAATTAATTAAGAACAATGTCAACTTAATTTTCAGGTGAAGAATATGTTAAGAGCCTCACTGCTAACCCTGAACTCATAGATCGTCTTGCTTGTTTATCTGAAGAAGGGGTATGTTTCAATTTTTTCTGTTTGGTTTGTTTGTTTGTTTGTTTTTTTATTTGTTTGGTATCAGATATTGAACTCAGGAGCACTCAACCACTGAGCCACATCCCCAACCCTGTCTTGTATTTTATTTAGAGACAGGGTCTCACTGAGTTGCTTAGTGCCCTCACTTTTGCTGAAACTGGCTTTATAATCCCAAGCCACTGGGATTATAGGCATACATCATTGCACCTGGCCAATTTCTTTTGTTTTTGAAAAGTGAAAATATTAAAATAGCCACCTTGAGATATGAGGCTTACAGTTACCAAATTTAAAAATTGGAATATGAGTCAGTAAGCTAGAATTTGAATAAAATTGTGTGTTGTGTTATATATAACAAGAGTGATTGTAATAGGCTTATTGGAATGCAATTCCTAAATGTAAACTTTTTAAAATAGGACCTGGCACATGGTGGTTCTATTTTTTTTTTATTATTTTTCTTTTAGTTGTAGATGGATACAATATATTTTGTTTGTTTATTTTTTTGTGGTGCTGAGGATCGAACCCAGCACCTCACATATTCGAGGCAAGCGCTCTGCTACTGAGCCACATCCCCAGCCCTTTCTTTTTTTTGTAATGAAAAAATGAATGATGCCCTTGGCTGATTGGTGTATACATAGT